AGCCCGATGCGGGACTCGATCCCGGGACTCCAGGATCATGACCTGAGCCGAAGGCAGTCGCTTAACCAACTGAGCCACCCAGGCGCCCAACACATGTGTCCTTTCTGACAGCATCTCATGGGTCATGATTCTATAGTGGCCTTCTTCAGCTGGACATAAACTCTGCGGGCAGGGCCCTCGTCTGTCTGGGGTCACTGCTACGTTGGGGGCCTGGCACAAGACCAGGCTCGCCGTGGGCACCGGATAAATGTTTGCTCAGAGAGGAACATGTACTGCCCTTATCTGGAATGCCTCTGACACCCCGCCTCTCTGGCAAACTCCTATCCAACATTTAAGGCCCACCCTCAATGATCCCCTATGGGAAACCTGCCAGGACCCTCTGACAGCATTTTGTGTTGGAATAGCTCTTGACTTTCTTTAACTGCTCTTGTCCCAAATGTACTCTGAGTACTGGCCTACATGTCTGTCTCTCTGATGCTAGCTGGGGAGCTGCTCCAGGGCAAGAACAGGTCTCATTTCTCTCCCAGGTCTCATTTCTCTACATTTCCCTGGAGTCTGGCTCACAGCAGGCACTCAGTGAAGGCTCCTGAAGGAATGAGATCTTAGCTTTGCAGGAAGAAACCTGGAAATACATAAAACCTACAGAGAAAGGACAAACATCATAGTTGGTGCTTTTGGTGGCATTCTATATGGATGGCAGGCCAGTCCTAATGCAGAAGTACTAATACGTGAGTAGGTTCTAGCGGGTTCATAATTGCCTGCAATCGATTACTCACCCATGCTGCTATGCGCTAGGTGTACTTACAGCTGTTAATATCCCCTATCTCATTGGATGCCAAGAAATAGCGACCTTAGTGCAATTGAGGGATCATATGGTAGCTCTATTTTCAACTTTTTGAGGAACCTCCATACTGTTTTCCAGAGGGGTTGCACCAGCTTGCATTCCCACCAACAGTGTAGGAGGGTTCCCCTTTCTCTGCATCCCTGCCAACATCTGTCGTTTCCTGACTTGTTAATTTTAGCCATTCTGACTTGTGTGAGGTGTGTCTCATTGAGGTTTTGATTTGGATTTCGCTGATGCCGAGCGATGTTGAGCACTTTTTCATGTCTGTTGGCCATTTGGATGTCTTCTTTGGAAAAATGTCTGTTCATGTCTTCTGCCCATTTCTTGATTGGATCATTTGTTCTTTGGGTGTTGAGTTTAAGAAGTTCTTTATAGATTTTGGATACTAGCCCTTTATCTGCTATGTCATTTGCAAATATTTTCTCCCATTCTGTCAGTTGTCTTTTGGTTTTGTAGACTGTTTCTTTTGCTGTGCAAAAGCTTTTTATCTTGATGAGGTCTCAATAGTTCATTTTTGCCCTTGCTTCCCTTGCCTTTGGCGATGTTTCTAGGAAAAAGTTGCTGTGGCTGAGGTCAAAGAGGTTGCTGCTGCAAAGGACCCATCTAAGCCACACCCAGACTCTTGACCCAAAGAAACTAATACGTGTTGTTTTAAGCAACTAAGTTTATGGTGATCTGTTGTACAGCAGTAGATAACTAATAAACACCCCTATCCAGATTTCCCTGACCCTTTGGGACTCAACTGTTACTCACCCAATGGAACAGGAAGAAAAAGCATGGCTTCCTTTAGTACCAATGTGTATGAAGAAGTCAGCAGTACGCAGGGAAGTGAAGACATATGAATGCTAGAGGTATGGTCCCTAAAGGTAGGCTGGACAGCCCCATCCCTACCTCTGGGCTCCATGTTAGCTCATTTCTCCCCAACTCATGAGTAACAGCAAGTAGAATACTGACAGTATTGCATGATTACCTCACCAACTCTCATAATGACCCTGTGACACCAAGAACACACTGGGGTATTTACTGTAAGCCAGGTATGCTCCAGGGGCTTTTTAATTCTTACAGAAACTCTAAGAAAGTATCATCATCCCCATTTCACAGTAAGGAAGCTAAAGCAGAGAAGTTAAATGACTTGTCCAAAGCACTCGGCTGGGAAGAGGTGATCCAGAGATTTAAAACTCAGGCCGTCTGGCCCCCACTTCCATGATCTTACAGGTGAAGGAACGGAGCCATGCCATCTCCAGCCAGCCCATGATGAAGCTGGGAGTCCGGGTTGCTTAACTCAAGAAAAATCTGTAAAGGAGGAGTTATTATTCCCACTTAAGAGATGAGAAAATCCCATCACTTCACGGAAGGAAAGGACCCATCTTTCTTGTGGGTCATTACGTTTGAAGTACCTCGTCCTGGGTGTGTCCTCAAGCTACAGCAATAACACAGAGTTGTTCTCTGTCCTGCCATCGTTCCACAGTTCCCCCACCTTTCCTCTCCCTCTCCTTTGATTTGTACCTCTTGGGGCCGTTAAGTGGATAGGGAAGTATGTGATCATTCTCCCCACAACCCCATCCTCTTTTGCTGATGAAGGAACTAAAGTCCAGGGAAAAATGAAGTGACTTTCCTATGTGCCATGTCAATGTTCCATGTTTTATGTAGATTACCTAATATATTCCCCCTAATTTCATGATGTGTGGTCTTACAGATATGAACAAAGATTTGGGAGATTAGGCAACTTGTCCAAAACTACACAGTACATGGTAGTGTTATGCAGAACACTCTTTGGCTTCGGGGGTGAGGACTGAATCCGTTTTTGGACCTTTGTCTCCTAGCTTGGTCCTTGGTGCACAAGGGGTATCCCTCCCAGCAGGCCCTCCAATGAATGATGGGACTGAGAGCCTCGAGTGGCCTGGCGCTCGCCTGCCAGGATGATTTCTAGCTCTAGCCTCCTAGAAGATTTGTAAATGTCTTGTGTTGGCCTAATGAACAGCCTTCTTGTGAGGGCTTCACAGTCCAACCTTCCAGCGTGGCCATATCTACTACCGACCCACAAAAATGCATGTGAGCCCATCAACTGGCCTCCCTCGGTGGCTTCGTGGCTCATCCCCCTCAGAGTGACACATGTGTCTTATGAAGCAACCTCGAGAAGTCTCGGGTATCCAAAAGACCTCAGAGGCTTCATACCCTGGCTTCTCACAAAGGTCTATAAAAAAGCCTCCCCGTGCCCAACCGGAGCAAGATGGCGGAGGAGTAGGAGACCTGGATTTCATCTGGTCTCAGGAATTCAGCTGGATAGGGATCAAACCATTCTGAACACCTACGAACTCAACAGGAGATCGAGGAAAAGAATAGTAACAACTCTTTGAACAGAAAAGCGACCACTTTCTGGGAGGTAGGACGTGCGGAGAAGTGAATCCGAGGCAATATTCGGGAGGATAGACGGTGGGGGAGGGGGCCTCCGTCGGCCGCTTCTGGCAAGTGCTAGAGCCGCGGAGCACAAAATCAGAACTTTTA